TTATTTTCTGTGCCATAGGGTTTAGTGGTACCATCGGCTGGCATTGGTGCCTGGGCGCCTCCGGCAGCCGGAGCGTCCGGCTCGGGATCAGGGGATCAGATCTGACACTCTGCCTGGAAAACCCGGTGAACGCTTCTCATCTCTGAGATGTTTCTAGCTTTGATGGCTTCAATTTTTCATTTCACAGACTTATATTGATTGCTTTAAGAATTACGCGCTCACACACGTGCTTTTCACACGGTGCAGGAAAATCAGAGCAAAGTTCTTCCGGAACAGCCACGTCCCAGGGGAGTGGGAAGGATTGATTTTTACCCGGCCAGCTTTTAGGCTATTCACATCTCAATCCAGACAATTTTCTTTCAAGAGAGTCCACTACCGTCCACTTAATTGTATTTTCTAACCAAGCAGTGGAGGGAGATTTGTTGGCTTTACTGTCCAAAGAAGACACAAATCTTTTCTTCCAATTTGTTCCCTTGAGTTGATGATATAGTGAGTGAATTTCTGACCCTAAAAGCAGTAAAATGTCAAATTGTTGAGTCCAACACCACCGGGGAAAAAATTAATTCATGGAGGAATGTAAAGGCTCGGAAAGGAGTACCACGCTGTATATTTTCTGTTTTTTATGGGGTTGCAATTACTCTTGGTCCTGCTTTGCGCTTGGTCCGGCTGGCACGTTAGCTCCAACACGGAGCTGGGATTTTCAGCCCGTTCCACCACATTCCAAAGTTCTTATTTTGTTCCTTGGAGCTCCCATTAAAATCAAACTATTTCTGGTATATTTTTATGTATAAAAGGCAGAAAAAGTAGGCAGAAAAGCAGGGTACAGGGAGCAAAGGGCATCGACCCTTAAACGTATTGCTGCAAGCGTGGCATTGTAGTGACAGGTCCTGTGAATAACTGTTTATTCCCTTCCAGCCACACAAGCAAATAAACTGCCGATGGTGGCTGGAAACTTGGTGCGGCGCAATATTCCTGTAATGGAATGCTTTTAGAGAGCAGCAATAAAAATAAATTGAAAACTGCTTTTCTCTTGGATACAGCTGGCATAAGCACCATCTGAACAAACAGGATAACACGAAGCTTAACTTAACATCTCTGTTTTTATTACTCAGAAGCGACAGGTCTTATAATAATATAAATTCACTTTAAAAATGGTCTTTTTTTAAAAGCCTTCCATGGTAATTCCGAGCTGTATAATTACAGGTCTGTGTATGATTTAGGGTGGGGACCAATTTCCTTGCTTCCGAGCCGGGGCGAAGGTTGTTCCTCCCATTGCCGTGCAGGTTGGACCTGTGAGGTCCAAGCCCTGCAAGGCTCCAGGACCTGCARGAGCACGTCCTGTCCTTCACCAAAGATACCCCGATTCTTGCCCAGTCTCTGCACCTGTAAGAAGGATAGCGTGCCGGGTAGCGGCTGTGGGAGGACTTGCTCAGGTCCCGTATCTGCTCTCCTGCTGTTTGGCATCTCTCACGAGAGAGCCCCAACGTGCGTGGGCTGCACGTGGGCTGCCCAAGGCCTTAGCCAGCACTTTCAGAGCCGGCTCCATTTGTCTCTGTCAAATCTGGGAAGCGTGTCACTTACGTGACAAGGAAGAGAGGGCAGCTCTAGTTGTTGAGCAGACTGCTCAGCTTTGAAGCCAGGTATTTAGCTGGTACAAATTAGTGATACCTTTTTCCTGCTCTCTTTTCTTGCTCTTGCTGCCACCTGCTAACCTCTCTGCTAGTCTGATGCAGACTCCTCTTAATCCGGAGTGGGATTTTTGCTTCAGCTTTCACAGAAAAGTGCACAGAAAAAGCATGACCCCATTGCTTAAAGCTGCTCTTGCAGACAGGGCCTCTAGTCTTCAAATTGCCCTTCGAAGGTCAAAAGGAATAAAAGCCGTGATGTGCAGGGAAACTACAGCACTGCAATCAACTTCTGTTTCTTTTTCTTTAACTAACTGCATGACATCTTATTTTCTTTGCTCATACTCAACGTTATTACATGATAATCTTAATTTGGACCATTCTGTGAATTCTAACTGAAGACTTTTACATCCCCGTTAAGGGAGTTGCTTCATCACTGCAATGCAGTGGTCCCTGGGACAGACATTGTTAGCTGTTTAATAGTACCTCCACACAGCAGCTCTAGACAAGAAGCAACAAATCTGTTATTAATATATGACTAAGTAGCCCAGGGGATCAATAATGTCTTTCTCTTCAAGGTCATCAGTTCAAATATACCACAAGCTAGGAGCGGAGTTAATACCACTTGATGGCTTTTTGTTAGTCTGTAGAAAATTAAGATTGCGCATCTTGCACATTAATGGACTTTCTGCAGGACCTGCTTTGATGTCTCCCGTTTGGAAGAGGTCTCAGCAGCGGGTGCCGGGGGCTCGTGCCCAACCACTCGCCGCGGTGCAGAACTCATGTCGCTTATTTGCTATTTTCAGAGGCACAATCCTGGTCTCTGCTCTGCTCTCCTTTCACTTTGAGGCTTCTGCCTACAACTAGGTCGTCCTGGATACACTGACCCGATATTTTATGGGGAAATGCAGGCTCACTCTGCCTTTCTGCCAAGCCTTRTGAACTGTGTTGGTGCTGCTAGCCGAGTGGGCACCAAGTGGTTTATATATAAATATAGATTGTGGAGACCAAATAACCAAACCCTGCGTCGCTGAGACTTGACACTTGCTCCAAGTGCTGCTCTGAGGGACTCAACATTGCAGCAGGATAAAAGGCTGCGACTAAACACGGGTGTCAGAGGGGATGCAGGTCCCTGTAGCTGAGGTGGGGAGGGACCATGGGCACTTCCAGCCCCTGGTTGTGGGAGCAGAATTCCCAGCCGAATTCCCAGCCTGGGGCTGCTGTGCCCAGTCACACGGGCCAGCCGAGGGCACGCTTGGAAGCAGAACAAACCTCCCGTCCTGTGAATCCCGTGGCCTGGGCAGCGGGAGCTGCGGGAGCCGCRGCGCGGAGCCGCCTGCTTCCCTTTATTGCTTTTAATCGGGCGTGCAACTCTGGTGATTGGGTCTTTAATATGTGACAAACATCCGATCTGTTCCCCATTCCTCAGGCCTGTCTTGTTTCCTTTCTTGTTACAGCAGAGTGATTACAGAGCACTTTGTCAATAAGCCAGCGAACCTCTCCTGCGGGCGATCAATGCAGCTGGTTTTGCCCAAACTTGCCGTAGCTCCACGCCTGGAGAGTGCCAAGGAGAGGGCTGTTGCTTATCAGGAGGCATTACCTTGAAGATAGTCCTTCCCGTCTCTTTTGTCTCTATAAAACCTATTGTTGCTGATGGGAATCTAAGATCTCTGCATAGGAGAAGTCCCCCGAGCCCCAGCCCTGTTATCCATCAAGCCGCCCGTGCTTGGAGCAGATCCCATCAGCGGCAGCGCGGGAGATGGAGCACGGGCCGGCCCCGCTTTGTGAGCCCGCAGAGCTGCGGGATGGACGGTGTGGAGGGGCTGCAGCAGCGGCGTGGGCCCCGCTCGGCGTCCTGCCCCGGCTCCTCCGCTCGCTGGGAGCAGCGGCCGCGAGCGGAGCCGCCGGCGGGAAGAGCGAGGCCTCCCAGAACTAACTCACTCGGATCTGAAGAGCTCCGCGACCCTTTCCCGTCAGATTTCCACCTTGGAAACCTCACTGAAGTGCTTGAAGCTCGTCAGGATGACTCCAGGCCCTATCGCTTCCTTTTTCACTCTAATTCTCCTGTGATCCCGCGGTTCTAAGCAGGGATTTCTGGCCCGGGGAGCGAGGCTGCAGCCTGGCTCCTCCTCGCTGGTCCATGTGGTGGCCAAACCCACGGTCCGTGTCCCCAGGCCCCTCCAGGCTGCACGGTTCCCATGTGCAAAGCAGGAGGCGAAAGCGGCGMTAGCATCTGCAGTGGATGTGCTTGTTGTTTAGCTTAATAGGCATTTTAAAGAAAAATGTGGGTAGAAAGTGCAAAGGGAAAATGAGCCTTTTTATGAGCTGTTYGGAAGTCCATAGAGGATGTTACAAAAAGGTCCATCTGGCAAGGTGGTTAGGAGTAAATGGATAATTCTCTAAAGCAGGGGGCAGAAAGGAACCTGTATAAAAGCAGGATAAAATGAATTTAAGATCCAGGGATGTGATGTCCAAGGACAAAACAGTTTGACCTAAATTCTTCCACGTAATGGCAGTGCTTGCAGTAATGAATTCTGTCTTATCTGTGTGATGGGAGGATGATTTGCAGACATCAAAATCTGTAATTCACTGAATGCCACTCTAAACTTGGGAGGGCTGCTAAATAAATAAATAAATAAAATTCATCAACGCAGAATAATATGCGTGCACATGGTTAGCAATAGCCAGGCAACTGTATATCACTGCGAAGAGTAATGTCAGGTTTTGGAATCAGATAAATTGCAAATAACAATGGAGAAAGCAACTGAACCTTGARGAATATGAGCCGCTGGAGTAGATGAGGTGGCTGCAAAGAGCCCTTGTTTGGAAAGGAGGAATAGAGACCAGAAGGAGAGAAAAAAACGAGGAGGGAACAGCAGGCCATAAAGCTGAGATCTGCTGCAGGAGACATGATAAAGGGTCATGGACAGCCCAGAAAAAAATATTAAGAAGCAATAAAATGCAGTATCAGTGGAGATAAGATGATAATTTGTTATTCTCAGCAGAGTCATTCCTGCACTGGGGCTGCTCCTGGTCTGAAAAGCCAAGCTTGGTTCTGTCTTGCACTTTGTGCAGTGATTTACACCTCAGCAGCACAGGAGTAAAATGCTTCACCAGCATTTGTATTTGTGCCTGTGTATTTTGAGAGGTGCAATTTAGCTTCGACAGAGCTTAATTTTAGCCCTGTCAGGGGTTGAAGGTCCCTTCGACTGCTTTAGTGTTCTTTAATACGTGTTGTGTAGCCACGAGCTCGGTACAAATGAGAGGCTCCTGCTCTTCCCTAGGAGCAACAGCTCGGCAAGCGCCCRGAGATGGACCCTGGCACCGTCCGTCCTCCCCGTGCGTTCCCACCTGAACGGCACCACGGATCTCGTCCAGCCGCAAAAACACCTGCTCGTTGGAGACAACTCTGACTCAAAGGTAGGTGAAATAAACAGCTGGGTGCAAATCCACACCTCCCATAAGGCAGAACTGGTTTGGGTTGATGGGAGGTTGATGGGAGGCTGCAGGAAGTGCAGCTGGACCCGCATGGAGTCCCCAGCTCTCTGAGCTCCAGCCCCGCATCCTTCAAATGGCACAGGCGTTGTTCAGCAGTTTTCAAAGATGCTGATAACAAAGATACAGATCCCCCGTACTTATTAAGCTGATGGCTTTTAAACATTAAATCCACGCTATAATTAAATTAACTGAAATTGTTTAAAAAAAAAAAAAGAAGTAGAAGAAGAAGAATTCTAAGCACTCCCTAGTAACATTTAAAAGGTGAGGGAATTGCCTGCAGGCCTACATAAGCATTGCTGCAGATTGCATCCAGGACTAATTCGCTAGCTAATGACTAAGTAGTCGTCGGGGGACTAGAGAGGAAGGAGGGAGCAGCTTCAYGGCGGGCGGTTTGTGGTGGTGCTGCTGCTTCTCCTGGAGTGGGAAAACCTTCCCATCCGCCCTCTTGCAATGCCGTGGAATTAGCTGCAAAATGACCTGATTGTCCTGCTATTCAAGAAGTCATTTTGGATTAATTTTGGGGTTTCTGAGCAGTTTATGTACTGCTGTGGGATGGATCTGTCCAGCCTGCTCTGCCCCCGGTGAAGGGAGTCTGGTCTGGGTAGGCGTCTACAGCAGAATAGAGGCAATTGGTCATTGCAGAACTTTTAACGCTTCCRAGAAGTTGGCATCCTCTTGGCCTGCCTGGAGCGTTTGGAAGAGGAGGGAGCCTGGGAATGGCTGGGAGCAAAGGGCATTGGCCTCTCCAGAGCCATGCAGTGGGGTCCGGAATGGGGAGAGCAAAGAGGAGGTTCCTGGGCAGGGGAGACCAGAGCGGGACACGGGCCGGGACCGYGGTGCCCATGGAGCTGCCGGCTGCACCAGGAGCATCGCCGGGAACCCTGGCGAGCCCCGGCGTGCGACTTTCYAGGAGATGACAAACCCGGTTACGGCGGCTCTGACGCGGCTCGCTGTTCTGTGTTTAAATCCGTTGTTACGTGGTTGTAGCCTCCGGCTCCGCTGAATAATTCCGGCTGCGGAGYGCGCGGCCGTGCCGCAGAGCGGTGCTGGTGCCGGTGGGGCGCGTGGGGCCGGTGCCCGCGGGCAGCGCTGCCCGGCGAGGGGCGCCCGGCCGTGTTCGCCCCCGAGCCCCGGCTCTCCCCGCCTGCCCACGTGAGCAGGGCACCACGACGGGCACCTCTGCACCACGTGCAGCCCCGCGTCCCTCGCCTCCAAATCACCCGGCCTCGTTTCTGCCTCGCMGGTCCGGAGCAGCGCCGGGGGGTCGGCCTCGTGCTTGAGCCCCGTAGGTGCTCAGGATGTAGGTGCTGCAAAAAAATATGGAATGAAACATGAACTGAAAAGGAAAAATGAAAGCTAAAAAGATCATGTCTCATACCCACCAATCTGTGGTTCCTCCTGTGCTTCTGACCAGTTAAAACTGTCAAGTTTATTTCCATTAGTGAGATTATTGCCCTTTATCTGCTTTTCCCCTGGGTATTGACTGTAACGCATCAAATGTGCTTTTATAAAATTGCCCTGGAAAAAAAAAAGGCAAGCAAAGAAAAGGTGATGGGTTAGATCTTGGAGCCTTAGAACTGCTCCTTAGACTCCTCTCTGCCACCAGCTTCATTTCGATTTCACAATGTTTTGTTCCTCAACAAACAGAGCACTYCCACGCTCTGTTTCATCATCCCTTTTGTTGCCCCGTTTGTCTAACAGAGTGGGGAACGTGCGGCTCTCGCCGTGCCCTTGGACCCTCCGGAGCCGCGCGCTGTCCGCAGCTGGAAAACGAGACAYGCTGTTACCCGGTAGCACCATCAGCATTGCCGCGTGCTCCCTGGCACTGAACTGTGTTAAATGAAAACAACTATTCCCTTAGCCAGCACAGCAGAGGAGCCCGGTGCTGCTCTGCACGTGGATCCAGCCRTGCTGCCTTCGCTGGCTCCGCGCTCCGGTCGCCGATCCCGAGCGGAATCGCCAGCAGGGAGGCAATGGTTCGGAACAAAGGGCTCAGGCTGCGATCTCATGGTTTATTTTCTCCCCCAAATTGTTTGTTTAGATATTCCATCAGCAGCCAAAGGTCACGTTATCGTGGCAGCCCGAGAAATAACCTCATCCAAGAAGCACAGCTGCAGTTCCTTCCACCTCTTGGACAGGTTGGGTATCCAGGGGACGTAATAAATGGGGCCATTGAACACGGGAATGCTGAGAGCTTTTTTCACAGCTCAGTGTAACTCAGTTTTCTTTTGCACTGTGCATTTTATCTACTACAGTTAAAAAAAAAAAAAAGCATAAAAACATTTCACTTGCAAAGCACAGTAGTATAYGTGGTTTTTCATTTATCCACATTTAGGGGCTGTTAAATGTACTGGAACCTGGCAATATCTACGGACTGCAGCTGTATCCCAGGCTGGATTCGTTAAGGCAATAGGTGCTAAAACCAGAGACTCCAGCTCCTTTCTCTGTCATGCCCAGAGGGAGGCGATTGTTTAATCCAAGCAAAGGGCTATTCTTTAATGTGAAACTAATGCTCCTTCCCTTGCTAGAGGTATCCAACGTGGAATGGCTCCAAACCACAAAGTGGTCTCAGTCTTCCTGCTCTCCGATACAAGCCTGCCAAGTTCTAGTCTGTTTGGACCATCTTTGTCTAAAAAAGAAGTATCTCCATGCAGTTTCAAAGAGGCATTCAGAGCCTTGATAGGATCTTTGAAGCAGGTTGCTCATTTTAGATGCTCTAAACTTGGCAGCCCAAGCTCTGCTCTGCGTCCCTCTGTGATGTCCTTCTGCAGCCTTGGCTCCAAGAGAGCATTAGTGTATTTCTGTATAAGATTACGTATGCCAAAACTTTTATGAAGCTGATTTTATGGCATTACTTGGCAATCTTGAGTTTGTTCAGTGGTACCTATCTGTGCTATTTATTCACTTTAAAGCAGAAATGGAGACAATCTGCTAATTCTGTGTGCAGCTTAGTGAAAACTTCCAGATTCCTTGGAAATGCTTTTTTTTTTTTTTTTTTTTGGTTAGGTTTGGAGCTTCTTCTGAATTTATTATGATTTCTTTTGAAACCCTGCAAAGCTTTAAATTGCAGGTGTAACTGGTGCCTGTTTTTCCCTTCCTCCTCTCTTCAGCACAGGACTAAGAGCAGCAGTGGCCTTGGGCGAAGCTTGCTGGTGTGCAGGAACACAAGCGTTGCCCGGAGCGGGGTGAAGCCACCACGGGTCTTTGCAACAGCTTGTTCCTACACAGGCTCTCCAGGTTGTATGTCAGGCTTCAGGAATGGAGGAAGCAGAGGAAATACAGGCTGTATCACCAAATTAGTTTAGAGCTGAAAGATGGTGTTGACATTTGGCCTTGTTTAGGAGCTTCAGAGGAGAGATTCTGAAAAGAGATGGAGAAAGAGGCCTTCAGGCTTTCTTCTAGCAGGATAAACCATCTTAAAGGCACCATTAAGAAAAGAACTATTGATGATAAAGGCCAGTAACGACGTAGCTGAATCTTTATTCAGCTGAAGAACTACTGAGCCAARAGAACCAGCAAAGCAGATCTTTATTTGAACCTTTCTATTTCATCCTTACAGGCTGGATTTGTGCTGGGCTTGCCTAGGAAGCTGGGTCTCACATTGCTCCTTTGGGAGATGGATAAAATTTGCTTTAGCAAGAGGGAGTAACCCAGCTGATAAGAACGGACATTCTGGGATACAGTTCATCAGCTAATCAAATCCTGGCATCTACAACTCTCTTAACAACGGAGACAAAAGATCAGCCAGTCATATTAACCCCTTAATTAATAATCCCGACACTTAACTACTCTGCTGTTAGACATTAAGGCTCTGTTGACATTGATGGAATGTGAAGAACCTCCCATGGTGTCTGTGGGAGGTTCAGCAGCACCGCTGGACGGTGCCGGCACACGACAGACGGATGCTCTGTCTGGGATGTTCACGTCCCGGAGGAATTTCCCTAAGCGTCAGAGTTATCCTGGGCTGCTTTTGCAGCCTTGGCTGGAATGATAACGCAGGCTCTGCTGCTTCCCTCCCACGCATGCAGACCCTGACCTGGTGGTGCGGTACTGATGCTGCCTTCTTGGTGCCCTTGCAGGTAGCAGCGAAGTCCGTGTCAGGCCGAGCGAGGCGGCGAGGCGCGAGGAGGGAATGTGCGATTTGCCAGGGCTCCTCCGTGCTGCTCCGAGCATGACATGGGAAGAGGCTCTGCCATGCAGCGGAGATCGCCGCGAGGGGAATGGACGGAGCCCGTGTGTTCAGAATGGGTCGCTGGCGTAAGTGGATCTGTCTTGTCGCTAAAGGGACACCAGGAAATAAAATGGCCCATTCTGAAAAATTATGTCCTGTGCACCATGCAGTAAAAATACAATATACAGATTCCAGATGAGCTGAAGCGTGAGCAATTTGATCACTGATGTGGCTCATGACCTTTAATTGCTTTTAAATTTTTAGATGCTGCAGAGTGTAATGTGACACCCTGAATGTGACAAAAATGCAGTGTTTCATCTTGTAAATGATCCAGAATATGGACTGTCACATTCTTGMGTATTAGAACAATCCTACTATGTGCTTCTTTTAAAATATTTCTGAGTAAAATGGAGTTGGTCCAAAGCTTATAATTCGGTAGCTACTACTCATCTGAAATTTCAGGGCAAGAGTCAGGAGGGAAGAGATAAGAATATCACAGTTTTGACTGAAGCCTAGAAACACACAGCAGGACTGAGAGCGCCGTGCAAAGCATCTGCTCAGCCCTGGAGTCCGGCTTAGCGCTAGGCTGGCGCTCATTAGTATTGCAGAGCTGATYGCACCAAGAGCAGCGAGGTTATTCATGAATAAGTTTTTACTTAACAGAGGAGGGTGCAGTCACTTAATATTTAATATCTTATACTTGACACGGTTGGAGCTTGAGCAGCCCTTAGGCCTCATGCAATAATTTTTAGATAGACCATTTCCACTTAGCATTCCTTGATAAGTGCTTTTGTTTAAACTATCATGCCTTCACTTTTGCAAAGTACAACAAGGTACAGAGAGTTATTGCTAAACACCAGGATTGTGTCTCTGCTAGAACACAACGTCCGTAAGTGGTGCAAGTCAGTGTGGCACGGAACCAAGGAGGTTCATTGCACGTTGTATATTCCTCTGCTCTTAAGAGATATAACAGAAAAGTGCTGAGATGGAAATGCAAATTCCTACCAAACCTGCATTTTCATACTGTATCTTGTCATCTTTTGGGTAACTTGCAGTGTCTGTCCCTCTAAGAAACGAGTCCTCTCTACTATAAACTAATAGCAGAGAAAGTCAGGAGAACAATGAAGGAAATCTTTTGTTGTCTCTAAAAAGACAGTCGAAAACCTGAAAGAGGCACCAGTGCTCTTCTTCACAAGGCCTTAAATACATATAGATTCCTTATGCAGAAAAATCCATGAAGACAACAAAAGCTTTCTACAAAGTGAATGCTCTCCACCATTAATGTAGATAACCATAACCATCAATATCTCGACCTCCTCACTCAGCCAAGTGTGGGCTTGTCCACAATGTATAACTCAGTAAATAAACTTGAGCGTAAAAGTGAGATTCTACTCCGGAAAACTCTTTAATCTCCCTTGTTTTTATGGATCAGCAAAGGTGTCAGGCGTTTGACACTCTAGATAATTGAGCTCTTGCATTTAGAGCACAGCCTACAAATAATGGCAACTTTGCTTTGAAATAGTCTTTCTAAACTTTGGTTTGACAATTAGCATTTCAAAAGGTTGCATCTCTGTAGCTGCCATCACCTAGTGCACAGTTAGAATCAAATGTAAGGATTAATAGCACAGCACTAAAAACAGCCATAAACCCTCCCTGCCTTGGAAGTGTTCCTGCTGGCTCTCGAGCACGTGAAGATCCCGAGCCACCCATCCACGAGGCAGAGCTGCAACTTGTGGCCTTGACAAAATGCAACTGAATCCATGCTAGAAACTGTCACCAGCCTCTCTGAGGCTGTCAGGTTTTTAAGGAACCATCTCAGTGCCGTGGATCCCAGCCAAAGGCAGAGGTCCCGTTCCGGCTCGCCCGCGTGCGCACAACCCTCCGGGAGGGAACCCGTGTGCTGCTCCCCGGGATTGCCTCGTGCTCCATGGAAATGTTATTATTAGGTTTTTTTTTTTTTATCTCCCTGAAATGAATGCAAACAATAGGAGTTTTTCTTTCCAGCTCATTCTTCAATAATTGGGGTAGTCATAATGAATCTGTTCTTAGAGTAGAATTAATATGAGATAGTACTGGTGATTAGGTAATTAGCAAGTACCAAGGGTATTTAACCTTCCGGGTGACAGCATGTCTGACATCACCTGAGCTCATGCAGATTCTCTGGAAAGAATTAACAATTTTAAATTACCCCATTTAAGTTATTAATTATGAAATATAAATGGGCCAGACATGATGCCAGTGGTGCCCAGTATCCTGGTGATTTTACACCTCTGCATATCTTAAATCTATGTATTTTCTGTCTTGTGTTTCATTATAAATTGAAATATGACTGCAAGCATCTAAAGACATTTGCCCTGGCAACCATCAGCTACTCTCACAAATGTCTTTGCTCCCATGAATGTCTAAGAAGGAAAAGGATTTCCTTTTCTGCTCCCCTTGATTTGAAAATTCAATTAATACTCAAATGTTAGAATGGCAAGTATTTTGATCGTTTCTGTTCTAGTGCCAACATTTTCACTGGGAACAATATTAGTTTTATTCTGTACTATTGTTTTTCCTCTTCGCACCACATGTCACCACGAGCGCTTATTGAGCTGCAGTGATGTAGGGATCGATCTCTTTGCATTGCAGCGCTCCAGCCCCCAAAGTGCACACCTGGACAGGGGCAAACACGAAGAGCTCAGCCTTTCTTCCCATCTCCAGCAAACAGCACTAAACAAAACACCTCCCTGCAGCTCTGCCAACAGAAAGATTAGGAAAAATAGTGACTCTCCTAGAGAGGTTTCACAAGCAACTTGCAAAGGTATTTATATGTAGACATGAACTCCTGTTCCAAAGGAAGTTTGCCCAAGTCTTGCTCCCATAATACATGTTTACAACTTCGGAATTTGCTTTCGTGAAATTTCTACTTAGTCGTTTCATGGGTAGTAAATGTGCATGCATGGTTGCATAAACCTGTGTACCCCCACACGTCTCTGTAGGTGTCTGCCTGTCCCATCCGGGTTGACCCTCTCTCTTCAATGCATGGTTATAGCTCTTCTCAAAGTTCCTCACACTGCATTAGGGTTTCTCTTTATGAGCAGCCAATAATGTATTAATGCATTCCTCGGYGGGAAGTGTGCTCCTAACTATTACCTTGGACACTCATTTAGTTGAATTTGATAGTGACAACACATTGACATTGGTAAGGTTAATGATCCAATACTTCATTTCACTGAACAAGTTGAACAACATTTAGTACATTGTTCCACGATGTCCTAGAGAGCTGTCTGTGCTATTACTTTAATAGTACTATGGTATCTTTGCCCTTTAAGTAATTGGCACCATGAAAATTTTCTCTAGATCCTGTCACAATTGATTAGTATTGCAGTGAGTTACAAAAAAAATACTTTTATTTTCCTTTTTCAATCTCTTTTCATGGAAGGRGGGCAGAATTTGATCTTTGTAGATGTGAAAGGCTGCACTTGACAGCCAGGTGACGGCACTAAAACCAGAGTGGCGAGGAAGAAGTACCAGGGCTACTTTGATGYTTTGGAACTGGAGCCCAAACAATCCCATTCCCACCATTCCAACCTGCGGAGCTCATCCCTCTTGGACTTCACAAGAGCTAGTGCCTAAAAATTTCTCAGCATTGCATTAATTTTGTCCTTCTATCACCTTCTCCCCTCTCTTTTAAATTACCCTTGATTGTACAACATCTGCTCCTTTCAAGCTTACATATGGCTCTCTCCTTAAATGTGCATTTCTGTCCCAGGGATCCGTACCGTTCTCCAGCTGGAAACTGGGCAGAGGAGGCAGGCTCCGTGCACAGGGAGGCAGAGCCCCTGCCTGCAGTGACCCGCTCGTCTCCCCTTGGGCTGCTTCCTGGTGCTGCAGAGTATCCCCAGCTGGCAGCGCATGAGCATGTGCCCTGTGCCGTAGACAGCTCCTTCGGGTGCCCCAGGAAACGGGCAGGAAGGGGTTGAGGTGAGAACAGGTCCTCCTGAGCAGCACGTGGATGTCCTGCCTTCCTCCGGTAGCTCTGCAGAGGTGCCTGCAGTGGGATCAGGCATCACCATAATTCACCTTAGATCACAAATTAAATGACTCAATCTATAACTATTATATACATGGGCCATCTTACTCTGGGAAAAAAAAATTCATATCGGCATAACTGTAAAAGCGAACAGCATGAGGGAGGGGAGGTAACTGTGCGAAGGAATTGTAATGACGAGTGTCAAACAGGGACACTGACAAGAACTGGAGATGAAGCGAGCCGTGGATCAAACCCCCCATTCTCCAGACAGGCAATTGTATTTCGTTTTGATATTCAAAAAATAAATTCCTCACAGATGTAAAATACTGGAACATGAAAGGAATGTAATTTTTTTTGTGCTCATGAGAAAAAGTCCAACAATTAATATGCTCAGGATGTCTTCTCCACAGACATGGGCTACCCAGAACAATCACCAAAGGTTTTCAACAAAGCTCAGCGTTGCAAGTGCATAGGATGGCGAGATAAAGGCTTCCTTGCCTGTGAGCTGTATTTAAAAAAAAGTTATCCCTCTTTTGATTTTAAACCTCAAAAAATTCCTATATAAAAATACAATACTGTCTTCTGATCATTTATATTTGCTTACAAGTTAGTTATATAGTATTKCCTCCTGTCATTATAGGTTACTTTAGATGGCTTCTGTTGTCACAGTGGAGAAGATAGATCCATGATGGTCAAATTACGCGGACTTCGAAGTTAAAAGACAGAAACTTTGGATTCCATCTTGACTTACAGTATGACTGTAGACCTCAAATTTAACTTCTTAGTGCACCGATCTCCTGAGCGGTAAGTAGCTCAGTTACCTCATAAYCAAGCCCTTATTTTATGCCCATTGCCATGCATCTGATTGACTTCTATCATCTGTCCTCCACGGCCTGGGACAGGGCCTATCATGGAATCCCTAGGAATAACACAGAGGAGATAGTTGGGAATAATTGTAGATAAAATAATAACAATACCACTGATGCTATAAAGGAAAATTCATGTTTTTCAGTCATCTGGTCATGCAACTTTCCTGCTTCCAGGGAAGGGAGTTCCTGCATCACCGACTGGACGGAACATCCTTTATATTGCTCAGAAACCTGCCGGGACACACTGTTGGCCGGCAGCGATTCCTGGTTTGTGGTGCGTGGATGGATCCCACGCTCCCCCAGCCGCGCGTGGCTGAGACCCCCTGTGCAGAGGGCTCCGTGCATGAAGCCGGGGCAGCTCCGAGCCCAGCCCGCTCCGGCCGGCACCTGCTCCGGCCTGGGAGACACAGAATCACGGAATGGTCGAGGTTGGAAGGGACCTCTAGAGATGATCTAGCCCAACCTTCCCGCTCAGGCAGGCTCAAGCACACGTGTGAGCCCGCGGTGGTCGCAGAAGCCCCAGCCCGTCCCCTCAGCTCCCAGGCCACACAGCCCAGTGTCACAAGGTGAAGGAGAGGTGTTTATCCAAGGCCGCAGGCAAAGGCCTCCTTTTCGGAACATGTTTATTGAGGTTTTCCACTAACCTTYGTCCCTTCTGGCTTTCTGCCCCGCCGCGCACCCCCTGGCCCCTCACCTCCATTCCCCAGCTGAGCCCTGCTGCAATATACTCTATATTTGTCTCTTGCTTCCCTGAACACCCATTATTATGTAGAATAATAACGCAGGAGCTCTGCTCGGCACCTCTGCTCAGTGGCTCCAAGTGGGTTGAATTGTAGCCCGCGGCAGGGGGTGATAAATGTAGCGTAAGATGCCTTTTCCACAGCAAACTGCAAATTGCCTCAGCAGCACGGCCCACAAAAGGTTCCCGCGGAGCAAATTTATCTCCCATTGTCGGCCCGCGGAGGAGAGCCGGGAGCGCCCCGCGTTCTATTTTTAAAAAGTCACATTTGATCTTGTTCAGGCTCCGAGTCCAGAGTATTTTAAAGGACTTTCCATGGAAAAGGCAGGCCGGAGAATGCTGCACAGATAAAGGGATTTATTTTTAACAGCAGCCAGGGTTCATGGCCATGTAAGCATTTCAATTTTAAGCCACTCGGTTTGAATAATATATTTTGCCAAAGTGAACGTTATGTCATCTAATAACTCGTGGGTGGGAGGAGGGCTGGGGGCTGGGGAAGGGGAGAAGACAACTGTTAGAGAGAAATTACCCTCTGTAGATTGTCATACGCTCACCAAAAGGGAGAGGGGATGGACAGACACGGGAGAGTTGAYCTCCCCATTCAGGAGTTTATAGTACACTTCCTCCCATATGGTTGAGCCCTGAGATAGCAGCGTGATGGACACTAGAGAAGGATGGCAGGTGATGGATATATAGTTGGAAACCTGCAGTGATGGATGGTAGAAGAGAGAGGGGAACATTTGGTGGTTGATGGATGGCAGCACCACAGGTGACGCATCCACAATTAAYGGTACGAGTCACCCTGGTGCATTATAATGTTAAATACCTTTGCATGTGATGCTCACTTGTCATGTCTCTGCTGGGCTGCCCTTCAGGTGCCAGGTAGTAAATCAGCGCTGGGTCTCCCGGCTCGTTCCGCAGAGCTTGCCCACGGATGGCCAGTGGCTGCGGAGCACCGGGACCGAGGGGTCCTGGGYGCCGCGGGAGCCTCACCTGGAGCTCGCTGCACGTCCCCTGGCCGTGGCCACCAATGCACGCTCTGCTGCCCCCGACCGTAGCCTTCCTTAGCGCCCCAGAGTTGCTCTGTGCTTTATATTAATTGRTAGTGTCCTCTGCAGGAAAAGCAAAGGCAGACGGAGCAGAACAGCTCACAGCAGCCCGGGTTGGGAGAAAAGGGTAAGAAGGGGAAGCCRAGGTCCTCGGGGGCACAGTGAGGTGCTCGGGAACACCTGGGATGAGTGGAAAAGGAGGATTCCAACCCCGGGCTCCAATCCATCGCATGCTCCTCTATTCCTCCCCTTGTGCCAAATCCCGTTTGGAAATTCGTTTTGGTCGTGTTCAGTTAACGTTAAAATTAGATTAGTTATTKGAAAATCTGATGTGCGCTTGCTGTCCGCATTTTCAAAGCAAATTAGTCACTGAAATGGAATTATTCTGGATTTAGGAGTGTGTAAATGAAAGTGGATTAGCTCTCTTTGCCTCAGTGTACCTATTTGTGATATAATGTTAAGTAAATACTTTAATGCTGGCGTGAAGTCAGGCTTAATTTATTAATGTCTTGCCTAATTAACATTTAAAGATCCTTCCTCAGAAAGAGGATTATTAACAATAATAATATTATTCCACTAGTGTTGATTTTAGCTGGATTCCTATGAATAGGCTATTAGGAGGTTTAAGCCAAGAATTTATTAGCAGAGCCCGACGGCAGCCTGGCCGGGTCCCGCACGGAGGCCCCCCTGTCCGTGGGCAAACAGGGAGAGGAGTCAATAAGAAAACTGCATCTGAAGCAACTTGCACTCCGTATTCATTCCCTCTTAGCTTAGTTGAGAACAGATCAACCTATTTACAATGTAAGASTTGAATTTGAGGGCTTAGAACTATTTTTCTGTTAACATAATGAAAAATAAATACAAAGTTGTTCTCTTTCCTTTCAAATGGCCTTTACAGTTGGGGATTATTTATACACTGTGTGTATCGCAAGGACAGAATTAAGAAAGGTGTTCACTCCTCATCCTTATATGAAATATCTTCCTATCTTTTCCAATGAAAATAATTCATGTCACTGAGAAAAAGCCTTCTATGAATCACTGATGAGTCTTTGATGCTTAATGTGCTGTCCAGCATAAACGTGGAGTTCTCTTGAAATTTAGTTTAACAAGAGAATCTGATTTTCTTCCTAACATCATTAAAGTTTCCCCTTCAAATTTCACTTAACAAGCAAATGAATGTTCTCCTCGCATAATTATAGTTTCTTTTTTGAATTCCATTTAAGAAAAGTCAGCCTCGCCCGTTCCGTGTTTTTCCACAAGGAACGAAGCCAGCCGAGCCGTGCTGTGAATCATTCCAAACACAACCTGAGCCATGGTTTAAAACCCAGCGGGGCAGAGCTGCCGCGGCTCGAGGAGGCCGCACAGACGTGGCCGTCCGTGGAGCTGGGGGCTTCTCAGGTCAGAAACCCACGTGCTGCGGAGTCAGACACCATGGACAGGGCATTGAAATCCAGACGGTTGCTCCTTGGGAAGTCTTTGTCATGGCGGCAAGCCTCTGGCCAGGTGTTGAAGCTCGGATTAAGCAGTGCGATCCTGGGCAGGATTTTAGGACTTGGAGCAGGTCCCGGTGCAGGGCCTTTGTCACTTCTGCTCCAGTTCCTGCAGTCATTTTCGGGGAGGAGGAGGGAGATTTTCCTGCTCCAGTCTGACAAATGAGCCGGGAAACACGAGATCTGACTGCCTCTGTCGGCACACGTGCACCTACATATGGTGCAGCAGGCGTTATTACCCTGATTATTTTCCCCATGTCAAGTTCTTGCTTGTTTAGTATTTGCTGGCCCCTCCTACCTCTCTGCATTGCTGGCGGTTTCTCTCCATCGTGGTCCAGACCCTGTTTTTCTTTTTCTGCTGTGGGTTTGCAAATCATTTTCCTGCGGAATAAATGGCACATATYCCTAACATCTGAACTAGTAGAATGTGAATAATTAGAGTCGAGCGCAAGTAATTTTTGAGTCAAGGCCTTAGTGTGTCATGGGTTGTAAAATTTAATCTGCCAGCAGCTCCTGGCCTCATATCAATTACATACAGTAAAATGAGGGAAAGTGTCCCATATTTCTGTGCGGTTATGGGAAGTGCCATGCTTGCGTTTCAACATCACATATTATCTCTGTTCTTAGCTGTATTGCCAGGTCACTTAGAAGCGTTTCTGTGATGGGCGAGCGTGGAGCTGTTTTTGTAAATGCCCCCGGGGGCTCCTCTCGCTGCTCCGGGTGCATCCAGCAGCCCTGAGCGACGATGGGAACTGCAGGCGRGTGGAGATGTAACCCATGGGCTCTTGAGTGCGTGGCGCGGGAAGGCAATGGGCAAGACCGCAYTGAAAGAAAAGAAGAAAAAAAGAAATTGAACAAAAAAAGGGCGTCTTTTGACCCGCGTCCTGCTTTGTTGAAGGTGTCAAGGTARGAGGTGGCCTCTGGTGCCTCAGCTGCTCCCCACTACCTGTATATTTGCACGTTAKTACCCCATTAAATGTACAGGAAAGGAGTGCACGTTCACACGGGGACTGTGTGAAGTCACAGTTTTTGTGAGGGTTTGAACCTCCCAATAACGTGCCTTCCCCAGCAGCAGCCATGGCCGTAGCTCCAAGTCCAGAGTCCTAAGTCCAAGTCCAGCTGTTGCCCTGTGCTTGTTGGGGCTGCAGACTTGGCTCTCGCCGTGCGTCTGCAGCACAGCTGAGACAGTCGTGCTGCCGTGCAAATAATGCTGCACCCAATGCATCTCAAAGTGGAAAGAAAGAATGAATAATTAGCTATATAATAGAATATATACATATATATATAAGCAGGAACTGCGTTAAGACCAGATGAAAGTATGTCGGGAACAACGTCTTGTTTCTGAGCTCTTTTCTTCTCCTCCTCTCTATCTGAATATGTCTGGGGATACTCACTTAAACCTTATTCTTGAGGAGGAAAATCTTCTCATTTCTCCTCTATTTGTATGCTACTCTAACAGTTTTGAGAAATTAAAAATAATTGATACATTTGCGAAAGCACAAGCAGTAACTACTTCATATTTTAAAAGCCTTGCAAATATCCAGGAAAAAGTGCTGTGCATGCAAAATACTAAAGTCTGCTCAAAGTGATGCGATGAAGCCCTCTTTTATSGGAATAACTGCGACTGCATATAATAAACCAGTAGATGGAGGTTTTC